TTTCTCTTTCTGGCGGCCTGGTTGGTGGAGTGTTGCCAAACACTTCGGTCCCGTTCAGTTTTGCTAGTTCTTCCGATGTCTTTGCATTAACTTATATATGCCATAATATATATATACTATATATCAATATTTTGTTAATTTATATTTATAATTTTTGTGATAGTAACTTATTAAAATAATAATACCTGAATATTGGTCTAGTATACTTGCAGTATCTGCTTATTAAATAAAGGTGGTGGCTTTTTAAAATTAAAAAGTGCCAGAGTATGATATTAAAAGTGTGACAAATAAAATGCGTTAAGTCCCAGTAATAAATTAGAATTACCAAACTGTATCTAAGACTAAGAATTATATAGTTTTTATCAAGAGATATTTGAGCCTGAACTTTATAATCTAGAAAATAATAGTGAAATTAAGAAAGAAGCAGGAAGTAGTGATAGATTGAAAAGTATTGATAAATTTGAGAATTGTTTAGAAAATAATAATGAGTTTGAGAAATTTGAAAATATTAATAAATTTGAAAATAGGTTAGAAAGTAATAGAGTAGTGACAGATATTACATAATATTATTTTACTATAGAGATACTCCTCCTTCTCCTCACGTAAGTCAATTCTGATAGTTATTACCAAACTGTATCTAAGACTAAAAATTATATAGTTTTTATTAAGAGATATTTGAGCCTGAACTTTATAATCTAGAAAATAATAGTGAAATTAAGAAAGAAGCAGGAAGTAGTGATAGATTGAAAAGTATTGATAAATTTGAGAATTGTTTAGAAAATAATAATGAGTTTGAGAAATTTGAAAATATTAATAAATTTGAAAATAGGTTAGAAAGTAATAGGATAGTGACAGATATTACATAATATTATTTTACTATAGAAATATCCTCCTCCTCCTCACATAAGTCAATTCTGATAGTTATTTAAAACTCTTTTCATAAATCACTTACACAAAACAAACTCTAAAAACTTCAAAACAAAAATGACTATAACTTTTTGAAA